CACTAAAACAGGGCTGAATGTAGCTTCAGCAGAGGCCCGGTGCAAATGTATGCCATTTGTCGGATTATTTTAGGAGGTGCGTTGAAAGACTTTATTCCCATTCCACATCTGACCAAGCTTTTGTAGTGTTATTGTAGCTTAAAGCCCCTGAGATATGCTGTATTAATAAAGTGCTGTATTTAACAAGTGTTCCTGGGTGTAGGCTTGAAGGCTTTTAAAGGTTATAAACTGTGGTGTAAACAATGCCTTCGCAGGCCAAGCTGAGGGCCATGTCTCTGAGGAGCGGAACCGGCAGACTTGTTTTACAGCCTCAGATCGAGCTCAGCTTTTATCATCCCTAAAAAGCTAACACGTCGTTACAGAGAGGGGGGAGTGAAAGCAGGAAAATAAACAAATGGCCTCATAGCATTCATAAATGCAACAGGCTACAAGTCGTATCAGAGATGCTTTAATTGGTCATTTGGGGATGATTGTTTGAAATTTAAAGCTCTTCAAGGTCTGTGGAACTTAAATTCCAAAACATTAACTTCTCTCTAATAATGTCCGAGGTCAGCCGTGTTCTCTCCATGCGATATTTTAATGGGTGACAAGCTGCCAGTGGAATAATTGGGGGCCTGCCTGGACAGTAGTTTTTGGATTTGTGTGACTTTTAGTTACCCGGTGCAGAAAAAGAATGCCACGTCATTTCCATGCATGTTTTAATTTGTTATTTTTTTGTTGTGTTGTTGTTGTGGTTTTAGGTTGTTTTTTTTTTTCTTGCAAATTGCCTGAAGAGATTTGGTCATCTTGTTAAAAGCGTGACTCTTCCCTGGCACCCTCACAACCAAAGGACTCTGCTCCAAAATACACATTAGATTTAAATATTTCATCGTACACTTATTCGTGGCTTCACGGTGGTTTGTTTTGCATGATTCACTCTCTGCCCCGGGGCCACAGCACAGGAACGGCAATTTGAGTTGTAGGTCTTTGAGCTGTAAATTGTCCTTGTTTTTCCCTTTTTCTCGAAATAACACGAAGGCGCCTTTCGAGTACGGAGCCACACGTGAAGGTCTTAAGTGACCTTGCCTTTTTTTTGCTTTCAGGTTTCCGAGCAGGTGTTTGTTTTCTCGACCACTCGGACTAGTCATTTCCTCGCAACGACTTGAACAAATAGTTGCCATTCTTACTGCAGCCCATTACCACAGGGCTGCATTTAGAGTGAATTGGCTGTTCATTTATGTGAGCGCCCGCTGCTGCCACACTCTATTTACACCAGTCACAGGAAAACCATTCATGTTTCAGAATTGGTTCCACATGTTGCCATTGTTGCTGGTCTGGCAGTACAGTACAGCGGCAGCAACTTTGAGCGCTGGCAGACCGGAGACTGGCGCGGCCTCTGATGCTTGGTGTAAATATTTATATATCCTGTCATTTTGTCTTTGTGTCAACTGCTCCGTGTCAGAGCGAGGAATAACAAACGGCATGTGAGTGATGGGCTGCTCTATTTTAAGGAGGCAGGAGACAGGGGTTAAGGGGATAAGTTGGGACCCAGAAAAGGGGGAGGGGAGTGTGTGTGTGTGTGTGTGTGTGCGCGTGTGTGTGGGTACATTCGCTGGTTTTATGTTGGCTCAGAGCCCTGGCTGAGCTCTGAATTTTCACCCCAATCTGTGTGTGTGTGAGTCTGCATGTGTGATCCCGCCTTCGTCTCATGAGCAGCCAATCTCCTGATTCAGTCAGCTGCTGTACAAACATATCCGTGATGTGATTACATTATCACATGCATTTAAAGTGTGGCTGATGTGAAGCCCTGTAACATGCAAAGCACAACTGAAATCCAGGAATTGGATACAGGATTTGTTTTTTTTTTGTGGGGGGTAGGGGGTTGTCCTGCTGTTTGCTTTTATGCGGGGTTTACGATAAGGTTGATTTGCTAGCTCTGTATGGGATCATAAAAACCTCCCTGGGTGCCACTAAAATTAGCTATTACTACTGATCCGAAAACAAATAAATATCACAAGTTAGATCACAGTTCAAATTAGTCTCTGTGGTGACACTAATTCAGTACCCTGCAATGTTGTTTTTAAAAAATCTTTCCAAGTGTGCCACAATTTTGCATCCCAGCAGTAAAGACAAAGTAAGAACCTGCCAGGAGTTTGACTTTGGGAACCTCCGTATATTTAGCTGCACAGCCTTGGGAGGGCCTGGTTATGAATGTTTATGAACGGTTCCTTGGCCTCATCACAAAAGGCCATAAATCCTTTGAGTGCCGTTGTGTTCAATTAGAACCTTTTGCCCCTTTTGCACACTCCAACAAATATCCTCTCTTTCTGTCTCCGTCACACACACACACACACACACACATACAGACACGCAGTCGCACACCCTCCATCACCCCGTTAGCGAGCCTCCCCTGGTGAGTCAGAGAGATTTATGGGGAGAAGCTGGGTTCGTCAAGCGCCGTCTTCCCCTGGGGGGGTGTCACAGCTACATTTGTATGCCAGGGATCCTTCTCGATGGCATAAAAAAAACAAGCCCAGTGGAGCCAAAGGATTGGCACATCCAAAACTGGTGTCTCCCACTAGAATAAGCGGAGCAGCAGCTATTAAGCAAAATGAAATCTTCGGGGTGAAGTTGGTCATGATCTCGCACATATTTATTTCACTGCGACTAATGAAAATGTATTAGTGTTGTGAAACTTGGAAGAAAATGCAAGACGCTTTTTTTTTGTTTCTTTTTCTCTTGCAGTTCTCTTCTCTTGTACTCCCATTGGAGACTTGAAAGAGAACAAGGGAAAATGTCTTTGCATACAGTGGCACAGTCTCTCAGCAGATGATATTGTTTTGTTAGGAGAGCGAGGGTTTGGTCCCTCAACATGAGTTGGAGGTGGCAGATGTTCAGTGGAAGCTCCTGTTTCTTTTGCTCTGTTTGTCTTCATTTTTGAACCACTCAGAAATCCCACGTTTGTCACGAACACTCCAAGTACTTGCTTTTGATGCAGTCAAGGGAGGGCATGCTTTCATTTGAAACGCTGTCTGACAGGTGTGCCTGAAGAAGCAGATAATGTGTTTCGAGGAGGATATTCAAGCTGTCCTCTCCCTCTGTTCCGGCCCTGATGGAAAGCTCCTTGGTAAATTAAAAAAGTCCCTTTGAAAAATTTCGTCTGGAAATAGCTCACAAATATAGTGATGAATGCTTTCAAATCACTGTAGCAACCACTGCTAAAAATTCTGCCATGCTTGAGATCTGGCATCCTACTGTAAGGTATTCATACAAGCACTAATTCCAAACTATCTGGAGAAAGTAGCTCTTCTAATGTTTGTTAAAGTGTAATCCAACCTATGTATACAGTAACACTTGGAAAAGTTATTATGGCTGCACATCAAGCAAGTGATGAGTGATGGAGGACATAAGTCACTGTAATGACTGACTGACCACCCTCAGCTAAACCTATCGGGTAACCAGACAGTAGACAGGCCGTCCTCATCGCCTGATTCGATTGGTCAGGGGTTAATGGCTTGGGCGCCATGAGAAAAGGCATGTTGTGGATAAGATGTCAGTGTCTGTCTGGGATATCGCTCCCTCTCTCGCTCGTGCTCTTTATGTTTGTATGTATTCCCCAAAGCATGGAGTCGAGGTCAGTCTCCATAAAAAGTTCAAAACTCATCCATCTTCCTGGTTCGTGCGGCGTACACATTTCCATGAAGCCACTCAATCAACAGTCGTTCTGATGGTATATGGAAATCAAAGGATTTCCCGCTGAGTCCCAAGATGCCCAAATTTCAGGTTTCACTTGGTGATTTTAAGACAAGGAGCATGCGAAACACTAATGTAAATGTCTTTCAAATCACCGAAAAGAACTTTTTTTAATGCGTGACCCTGTCAACAAAGAACACCTAGAAGACTTTTTGTTCTCCACTCAGCCTCCTCTTCACTTCTTCAGTAAAAAGCTCATATTTGTATCATGGCAGATGCCAAGCACCAAACTTATTCAGCAATTGCAAATGTGCCAACTGCCACCATCAAAACATAAAAAATAGTGCATCTGATGCAAAACAAAAGAAAGTGTGTCCTTTAAAAAACAACTTCATCAGCAAGTTGCTGTGAATGAGTCAAATCAGGTTTAATTGCATAGACAAAAATCACCCAGTGCTGTCTAAGAGGAGTTTATGGTTCATGCAGCATATTAGACTAACAATGGAGACATGTTTTATTTTATTTTTTTCACTTTAAAGATAATACTGGTCCCCAGTGGTGGAAATAGCATCTAGATACTTAATTTAAGTAAAGCCAAGCTAGGCATTACTTCACTGAAAGTAAAATTCCTGAATTCAATGTGCTCAGTTCAACAAGAACTCAAGTACAGATATCAATTGAACGCACTTAAAGTGTCAAAAGTAAAAGTAGGTACTTTATTATGCTGAAAAATGACTGAGACCTTTGAATGCTACCAGTATAAGTCATATTCTTAGGTTATTTTAATAATGCTTTAATCTATAGACAGCAATTTGCCATTGTAGCTGTGTAGGTTGGTGCTAATTCTAATACTAATAATAAGTAGGTAGTTTAATGTATGGCTATGCATCGTATTTTAAAGCCTAATCTCACTGTTTTAGTTTTGCTTTGTATGTGAAATCTTGATCTGTAGAATATGTAGAATCTTCATCATTGTTGTTCCAGTGTTCCTGAGTTTTTTACTCAGGATGTCTTCACTCAAGTGTGATTTGTTTTATCTGCTACTATTTATTTCTTGCCTGACCTTTGGTTCAAATGTGCTTTTTCGCCATAGAAATCTCGGAAATTTGATCTGCAAAGGAAGCTAGAACAAGTGCAGCTTTAGTTGAATGAAGAAAAATCCAAGCAAAAAGCGAGAGCAGAAAGATTTGCAGCCTTGTTACAAATGTGGCCCTTAAGGACCTCAGTGTTTGAACTCAGATCATTTATCAGCACAACTGTCATCTACAGTCATAAACACTTTGCTCTGATTGGCTCACTGATTTTCTGTCTTCTGGTATCGTTGGCAGAGATGGAGCCGTGGATCTTCAGGTTCAAAGCTGAGGGCACGGTGGATTACTCACAGCTGACCTTTGACCCTGGACAGAACGAACTGATCGTTGGTGCCAGGTAACTTATTTCCAGCAGTTTTTTGTGTTTCTCTTTCTGTTCTTTCGGTCTTCCCGCTTGTCTCGTTCTTTTGTTGTCTCTTCTTTTATTGCGCTGTCTTTCATTCTTCTTTTTTTTTGCAGTGTTTGTTGGAGCATTGCATGAGTAATGATCAGTTTCTCTATAGATGTCCTCAAAAGCCAAAGAAAAATGGCTTTGGAGATTGTTTCCAAGTCCTTTGTCTTTGTGAGGCTCAGCCAAGTGTGTGTGTGTTTTGTGTGTGTGTGTGTGTAGTGGTATTACTTATGTTGCGAGGACATAAATCTGTTCACCCAGTCACACTGTGGGGACTCACCTCCCTTTTGGGGACAAGTAGCGAGCCCACATAACTTGAATCATTAGATTAGGACTGACGACTTGGTTTAAGGGTTCAGGCGAGGTTAGATTTAGTTTAAGTAAAGGATAAGTTCAAGAAAGTAGTTGGTTAGATTAAATCTTCAGGAAATGAATGAAAGAAATATGTGTGCTTGTTTGCAGTTTCTTTGTGACCGAGACACTGCATATAAAAATAGCTGCATCCATTTAGTGCTAAACTGGTTTTTTTTGTATATGTGCATCCATATATATACATCAACTGTGTGCGAGTCTCTGCGCTGATTCCTCTGCACTTTGCTTAATGGCTTTAGTTGTCAGTAGAAAGAAACAATCACAACAACCTGAACAGGAGATAACAGGAGAGCCATCAGGAAGGAGAGCAGCAAAACAAACAGAAACAAAGCGAGCCCAGGGAATTTACTAATGCACCCAGGAACGTAGATGGAAAAGCTAATCAGGAAAAGTAGATGTGTGGATGGATAAAGGTCTTGTGAATGAGTACCCGCAGAAACAAATGACAAAATTGTGTTGTAATTGAATATTATATTATATTATATTATATTATATTATATTATATTATATTATATTATATTATATTATATTATATTATATTATATTATATTATATTATGTTATATTATGTTTCATGTTGTGTTTGATGGCCATGTTTTATTTTTAGTGGCAATACAGCCAGTTCTATCAACACGTACCCCAAGCACTCAAAAAATCAAATAAGAGATTTAGTTCAATTCTCGGTGCCAACTCGGCGGCTGTTGAGTGTCTAACTGTGAAAAGCAACGTGGCTGGATGGATGGCTGCAGGTTGGGTTCGAAGTATGAGTGATAATGGAAGGAAAGAAGAATCGATGCAAATATCAATACAGTAAAACAGGGGGCCGTGGCCACACTGAAACCTGGCTGATAGCCACTCTTTCTGGAGATTGATAGATCTCTGCGAAAGCGTGGTTGTATGTGTATGTGTGGTGGAGGTGTTTGTGTGAACATGCTTGGAGATTTTAACTCTGAAATGAGATTTATAAGAATAAAAATAAAAAAAACAAAAACAATGCTTGCTCTTTAAAAATGATTTCTGACACAAAAGAAAGGTGATGAAGGGCTTATTCTTCATGCTTTTGCACAGTCGCTGCCTGCTTATCTGTTTTTGAACAAAGCAAAAGAGAAGCCTTCCAGGTCAGATCATCTTTAAAAAGTATTTTTGCTCTGAAACGGCACTGAATTTACCAAAACAAAGTTTCCTTCGTGTGGCACATACCGGCAATAATCTTGGGTTGTGATTGGCACATAGTACAAAAACACAGATAATGCCGACATCTCCAAGGGTTAAAATTAAAAACATTCCAATAAATAATACTTCCAGTCCTAATTGTGAGCTTCCATGTGATCTCATTCTGATAATGGTGCATAATGGCTTCAGCAGACAGACTCAGACATCGTTAGTCAAAATACAGAATATCCCTCCTGAGACAGCATTCATTAGAACCTAATGTTTCTTGAAAAGTTGGAAATGCCAATTGTTTGTGCCTTGTAGATTTGAGAAGCTTCAGGCAAAGGCAGGATCGGCACTTATTAGACGGAGACTTCCCCGCCAGGCTTTGATTGTCCTTTACTCTCTCCTTTTCTCTCTCACTCTCTCACTCTTACTGTTTCACATGCACACAAACCTCTGGGAAATAGGAGCATAAAACCTTTTAGCCATGCTTTATCTAGTCTTTTTTGGCATCCTAATTATGGGTTGGAGAAAGCTAGAGGTCCATAATTTGCTGCAGCGGTTGAATCCAGCTATCTATTGAACTCAGTCCTTTTCAGTACCCTGACTACGCTCATACAACTCCTCATGCAACCCAATGAAAAGATTCATTTTAGCTGCTAGCTGGGAAGAACTTAAGAACTTTTAAAGGGAGCAGCTTTAAAGAGCAACTCTGTCAATTGTACACAATAAAGTCTATTTACAGTTATTACGGCGTACGGCCGTATATGTGAAAAAGAATTTCAGCGACATAACTTGAGGTGGGCCCGAAGAATACAAGCTGTTAAAATGAAAGAAAAATCTCAATATGTGCAGTTAGACAGTGGGAAAAGCGAGGTTATCACATATCTGTAGGCTGCTTTTCATCTGTGCTTGAGGCTATTGCAGCTCGAGGCTACACATTAGTAGCTACGAACACACATGAGTCCCCATCCAAACTGTCTTCTTACAGTGATGGGTAGTACCTGGAATAAAACAGATAAAGTAGTACACAGTGGAATCAATAGAAAACTCCTATAAGTCAACATCCGCTGCATCATTTTCACCCTCCCTCCAACTTGCTATCTAAGCAGTTTAAGTAAAGGATGTGGTATGGCCTCCTGGTTGCACTCCTGACGAGGGGAGTGAACATGAAAGAACGAGAGGCAGGAAACATTGTAGATAAATGCAGTTTGGAGCTTTGGAGAGAAAATGTTCAGTAACACCCTCACATGTTTTTTCTTCATTCTTTTTCCAAAGCTGTCTACATAAACTCACGTTTTCTTCTTTCCCCAGAAATCACCTCTTCAGGCTCAATCTAGAAGACCTGACACTGATCCAGGTGAGTGCTAATTCTGTCTCACTCGGTCTTTCTGATTCCTCCCTCAGTCTGCATCACCCAGTTTTATGGATGAATGTGTATTCACTCTCATGTGACTCTTACAGCGATGCACAGCGCAGCCCTGCCTCCAACAAACACTGCTCTGATCGTAGCAAAGCGCTGCCAGCTCCCATAACTTAAAGCTGTTACAGTAAAATGGTTTAGCATTTCACATGTCACAACAACTTCCCAACCGGTGGAGTACCATTGGGTTTGGTTGATGGCACTGTGTGTTGATACACAGAGGGAGCGTTGATATGAAGTCTCGTCTGTCTGTTAATACCCTTTGGTTGAAATCCAATTTGAAGCTGCATGTGACATACACTCTAAAGCTATACTTTTCCACATTTTTGAAGCTGTTTAACACCTTCTGCAATTTCTTTAATATGATGCTCCAATTTTGGTGTAACTCTTGAGCTTTTTCAAGGTAGCAGCATAAAAAAAAAAAATCCACACAGATAATCAGCTGTTCTGAAATGCAAGGCACAAATTAAAGTTCACCAGCTTGAGGGCTTTGCCATCTGCCTAGAGTGACATGCTGCAAAATTTCCACGAGTAGTACACTTGAGGTGGCATTTCTGTTTTTATACGTCTATCTTTCATTCTCCCTTCTCCCACAAGTTGTCATTTAATGCTCTCATTTGGCATCCTTTCCCTGTTCTGCCTTTTTTTGCACACTTATATGAGCCCACATCCCCACCTGTGGAGCTAACCATTTTGTGACCCACTGTGTTACAATACAAATATTGACATGTTGAGGGCTTTATTTCTAGGTGGTAGCAGCAAGGCTCCTTTGATGCTTCGACAGCTCTTGATGTTTGCCATTTACACCCTGGAAATCCAGGGGGGGGGAGGACGAGGAGGAAGAGAAAGGGAAACAGGGTTGTGAGAATGTTTGGAAGGAACAGACGAATGGAGGATGGAGGGAGCGCTGTTGACATAAATCCGACTGGAAAGGGAAAATGAGAAAAACGGTCAGACGAAATGAGTAGCGAGACCGAATCTGTTGGGAAGGAAGGAGTCGAGGGCGGCACACACAAAAGAATCAGGGAGCGGTGAGACAGCACACAGACAGAGGGAAGAAAGCAGAGAAACCCCCCACGGAGAGAGCTGAGGATTCATGCAGAGCCGGTCTTTTGTGGGCGCTCACTGGGACACAGATGCTTGTTAAAGATGCTCTGTGCCATCCAATCATCCCCCCTTTTTTATTTCATCCTGCGCTCGGCTGGTGCTGCAGAATCAGTGAGGAGATTCCGCTGAGCCAATCAACCCCTCAACTCCAAGATATCTTCTGGTGGGAGAATAGGATGTGGTAATCCCTGCCCAGACCTGGGGCCAATTTAGTCTGACCTATGCACTAGTCCCTTCTTTGCATTGGACTGGATCCAACCTTTAGAGTCAAGGAGACGTCTAAGTTCAACTGCTAAAATTTCAGGAACACGAGTGGTATTCTTCCATTCACCAACCTCTGAAATCTCTTTCTTGCCTGCCTTCTTTTCCACCTTAGAAGAAAACATGAGATTCATTGCACAGAGATGTGGTTGCCTCTGTGGCTTGGTTTACATATATTTCTCATTTTTATTGTTGTTCAATACGAAAGACTTGAATGAATTTCCCCTTTGGCGCTCTTGCTCCGCTCACATTACATGCACTGCTGATTGATCAAATAGATTTACAAGGGAATATCGTGCTGACAGAGCCAACAAAGAAAGTTTGAGCAGTTGTTTGTAATTCAGTGCGTTTTATTTCGGTTGCGCCGATTTTCAAAAGAGTTGCATGAGCTTCTTTTTTTTTTTTTCCTTTCCTGCAGAAGGAAATCAGGCTAAAAGCTACACCTACGCATGTCTTTGTGATTTCACCCCATCCCCATGTATCAGTCCTGTCAGATAATGCCTGATGGCAGTGATCTGTTCTTGCATGGCTGGCAGCGTTAAGAAGGAGGCTGTGTATGTTGACAGAGCACAAGGCTTAGAGCCGCTGTAATACAGAACATCCTATAATGCGCTAAGGAGTTGGATGTAATTACCACATGATCGACGGCTGATCTCATCTTGTATGTACACGCATGAAACATTTCTGGACAAAAATGAAGTAAAACGTGCATGATGTCAAGGTTCTAGCCCTTTTCTGTCCTTGGTTACAGGGTGATAAGTTGATTTCTAGCATTTTGTGAGGCAGAAAATTAACTTTGAATACCTGCTAGTCCTACTGTTGTGTCATGGGGCTTTAGAGAGCACTGACACTTAAGGTACTAGCTAAACACTGCTGCTCTATTGCACATATTGAGTTGAGACAAGGAGAATTGATCAAGCCAGAGCCCCAGCAACTGTAATCTCCTCTGTAAAAAACCCTCCTTGCTTGGAGGTAATAAAAAAAAAAAACAACAACTGAAAATGCCTACAATATCAGAAATTGGAGAGAAGCCTTTAACAATTTTGCTAAAAGAACTGATGCAAAGCCATCTGAAAACTTTATTTCATTGCCTGAGTGTCTTTTAAGGCCACACCACAGATTTGGTCTTCCGTAAGTCGTGGGAGTAGAAAGGGTTCGGTCCCTGAGAAAAGATATAAAAGCGTGTCTGAGGAGGTGTTTACAAGTGAGATGGACACTTAGCGAATAATAAACAGTAGAAAATATTTCACATTACATGAACTTTCTAGTAGGTACTCAAACCGAATGGCAGTCCGGGTTGAAGTGGGAAGAGTCAGGCCTCGAAGAATGAGTCAGCCCTCCCTGTGGCCTTGATTAGAGTTAATATCAGGTACTTACACTTTTTTTTCTGCAGTGTCTCACCAGTCTGAAGAGGCCTTCCTTTCCCTGTCAACCTCTACCCTCATCCTCACTGATCTGGAAAACACTGTCAAGAACAAAAGGTGGACGCTTTTCTCCTTGCTCCACTTTCAAACTTGTGCAGCTGAAGTGAAGAAAAAAAAAGAAAGAGAGAGAGAGAGAAGGCAAAGGCTTAACTTAGCAGCATGCACAACTAATGAGACATTTACAGCCACCAAAGCCAATGAATTAGTGGTGAAAACAGCCGCCACAAAGCACTGTTTCCTCCTGTCTGCAGGTGAACCCTACATTATATCTCACATCTGTTCAGTGTTGTCCTTCTGGCCCCGCTCTCCCACATTCAGCTCCCTCAACTCAGCTGCTGCCAACCTTGGGCAGGTGAATCAATGCTGGCATTATCATTTCCCACTGCATTGCCAGGGCTGAGGAATGGCCAAGCCGGCTCGATGTACCACTCAGCCTTGTGTTTCTGTCAGCCCATGACCTCTTCAAATAATTATCCTTTGATGTTATTAAATAATCAAATACGGCCATCCACTCTTGCTCAGTTTCAGTTCCATCTTTGCCCTTTGCACAGCTGCTCCAATACAGTCCTAAATGAAAGGATGTTAAGTGTCTAATTTTCAGGCACAATAAGATCTTGTCGGATTCGCATTATCCTAAACAAAGTTGCTAATGTAAGGAGAAATTAAAACGGAAAAAAAAAAATCACAGCCGTTTAGAGTTCAATATCAAGATGCCGTTTCCACTCTCAATCGAAACAGGATGCAGACGATGAGGCCGAGTTTCAACAGAAACACTGTGGCACAGCATTAGTCAATAAGCACCGGGATGAGCAGGATCAGTGGCATTGTTCACCATTCAATAAAGCAGAGCAGGAGGAGGAGGAGGAAATAGTGGAAATTCACTCCAGCCTCTCTCTCGCTGTCGCTCTCCCTCTCGCTCTTCCTGCACTGGCACATGAAAACACTATCCATAACAGCTCCCCTTGGCAACAGACACTGTTTGGTGTTGAGATGTATATTCTGCCTCCATTTTTCTTTGCCTCCCCTCGTATTGTCGCGCCGTTAAGAAGGAAAGGGAGCTCCAAAGGAAACAAAAGGCTCCTTCCACTCTTGCATGTTGTATTTCACAGGCCTGTCTCTAACAATTACACTTCGTCAGCCTGACAATTAGCCCTGCTAATCAGTGGCTAACAGAAACTATCCTCTATAGCTCTGGAATCATTGCTAATTCAATTACTAGAACACTAACTTGGTCATTTAAATGCATAGAATAAAAGGCATAATTGTAATTGGAGATACAGATATCAGCAGGGTGTGTGATATCACAGAGATGATGGCATGTTTAAGCAAGAGGGCTGAGCATCCAAGTTGTAAGATTCATAGCAGGGGGTCACTTCTGCACTGACTTATCTTTTTGTAAGGTGTTATGATGATATTCGTAATGACTCAGACCTACACATTCGCTGAGACATGACATCAAGACCAATTTCGTGTGTAAATCTTTCAGTAGCTTACATCAGCAGACATCAGTCTGAATAGTAAATATTGTGCCAGCACATCAAAAGGTAATATCAGCTATTCATAAGACAGATTAGATTTACCCTGCAGGATTTGTCCGGCTCTTACTCTCAACCCACCGTTGCCGTGTAGTGAGACACACAGCCCGTCATTTCACAGAGCTAGACAGCTGTCAGCAGTGGGTCTGTTCTCTGGACCCTCTTTATGCAAAATATATTCAATATCATGTCTGGAAACTGCTGTTTTGGAATTCAGCTCCTCGCTCCCTCCTCCATCTCACTGACTACTTCACTCTGCCCACACAGTCTCCCTTGTTCTGCCTGACTCCTAAGTTGGACTCTGTTTTCTCTTTGCTGTTATTTTTTTCTGTCTGTTTGTCCCTTATTTTCCTTTTTTTCTTTCCATCTCCCTCCCTGCCCACCCTCCTCATTTGGATCTTTCCTGCACCCACCGCGTGGTGACAATAGCCCCTCAGTGTGACGAGCAGCTCCGACACAATGGTTCATCTCTGAGGATTGCACCCATTCCAGGGGGCAGCAGAGCAGGCGGACACATGAATAATAACTTGTTAGGAATTTTTCCTTCATCTTCCCTGAAGCAACAAATATCTGTTGCGAATTGTTTCTGCCTCACTCTGAAATTCTGTGTCTTAATCACGCGTAATCTTCCTTAAACTATTATTTCAGTCAGTTAGATCTTGCTTTTGGTGTCTTTGCTGGACTGTCCACCGAGTGCTTGCTGTGATCTGAGCAATATTGCTGAAAAGTGGGGAAAAAAACAGAAGCAGTCAGACAATCATCCAGGCTTTAAACAAACTCACCAGTTACCCTAACACGTTTGGAAGAGATCACAGTTGTATTAATGGAACTGGATCTTGCTTTCCTCGATAGTGCCACATTCACTCCTGTGAAAATTTCTCCCTGCTGAGCTACTTTTTTTAGACTCCCACAGGCTTCCACATTTTTTGGCCCTTAGAGAGTAAGCACAGGATTTCTTTCCAGCTAAGCTTTTTGAGATCATATGTGTTGAAGACCTGCTCTGTCGGAGCTGGCTATCTTATTGTTGTCTCATCGCAACATGAACTAAAGTAATTGAAATAAAATAAATGACTTTTCCAAAAGAATGTACTTTAAAGTTATTCTCGACTGATTGGGTGAAGTTGGAATTTTCATCAACAGTCAGTCATTTTGGGATGTTTATGTTGATTCCCTGATTTATACCTGCTTCTTTTGAAATTATTGCATGTGGAAGCATGTTTTTTCCGGCCTGTGTGCATCACATGACCCTGCAATACTGAGCGTGGCCACTACATCAGAAATGCCTCTCAGCTTTTAGGGGGCTTGTAGTTTACACCAACTTCTAATTTCAACTTCAATCGGTTCCACTTGTGTTGTACAACTTGCAATGACCTGTTGTTACAGACATTTTGGGTGTGCTAACTTTCAGTTCTACCTCCAAATAAAGTGGCTTAGACAGGTGTAGATTAAATTTTATCATCGCCACTCAAAATATGGATTATAAAATCTAAAAATAAATAGTTGTAGCAAACTTTAACTATCCTTTATCAACGATGGATAGGTGATAAATTGAACAAAAAAACTAACAAAATGGTCTTAGTAAGGTGTTGGGTCACTACAGAAGAATTTAAGGGTTGCTTGGCGTTGATTCTGTAGGTTATGAAGCTCTACTAGAAAGGTTGAACCTTATTTGGTGGTGATGACGGCAGTGGTGGTCTCCCACAGTTGAGCAATTTGATTGACTCTGAAGACCAAATCATTTGACTCGCAGCATTTTTAGACTCACCAAACCATTCAGTGACTCCTCGTGCCCTACGGATGGAGCCATTGTCAACACAGAGAGGCCACTCCCTTTAGGATTGAAATGTTTTATCGAGAGATAAAGGTTAGGATTAGTGTTAGTTGTTCATTCAGAACAACTTGGTATTGATTTGCTGTGACCTTTCTCTCCAAAGGGCCAAGTTGATCCGAACCGTGACAGCAAGGTTTTCTCACAGCTTAACAGAGACACTGGATCTCCTGACTGTCAGGGTCAAGGGTTCAGGTTTTTCTTTTAATCTCTCACACATATGTAAAAAATCTCGCCCTTCCCCACAAGATCTAGTGCTTTTCTTCGACTATCATTACAAAGCCATGATGGATATTTCTTTTCCTTTTGAGCTAATTCACCATTATCTTCTCTCTAAATTTGATCCTGGCCCTCTCTTTCAATCTCAGCGTCTTTATTTCTCCTCTAAGTCTGTTCTCCAGTTTCCTCTAGGTGACAAAGGCACAGAAAAAAAAGGCCCCTTTAAAGCAGCTTCCTCTGATAAAGCCAAGAATTATTATTATTTAACGACAGCACATTCCAGACATATTTGAGTTCAAGGCAGATTCATCTTTGGAGCACAAGGGCTGAACAATAGCATGTTAATGAGCTTTTAATGTTTCTTAATGGCACCGGCACTTGCATTTGCTTGGCTGTGATTTTGTTCTTTACTCTGGACCATTTGAGCTAGGGCTGTCAGATCGGGTGGCTTTAGTGGCCAATGACGCCAGCATATCCCCTCACCTACAGGCGTACGGACATAAAGCCATAAAGCCATAAAGTTTGAGATCTTACAGATGTAATGAGAACATGTAGTAATCTGAAAATATGCTTTGAACCATGCTGAATGATGATAAATCACATAATCGCCTCTTCATGATAAAAGCAACCACTTTGCTCCCATTAATGTGATCTCAAGTCGTAATTTTGCATTGTATTATGATTGATTTTTACACTGAACATGAGTGAATAAGGTTTCAGGCCATTAACAGGTTTTCTCCCCCCACCCCTTGGCGATTAGCGAAGGCACTTTCAGCGCCCACGTTGAATTCAGCTGCGGTGCTGTGTGTGCTGCTTGTTTCGTGTCTGCAGCAGATGCACGTCCCCTGGAATAGCCGGCTTCGGCCTGAAATGCGAACTGACGCGCACACAGAAGAGAGGGAGAGGAGCCAGCTCCCGTTAATGCTCCATATCTTATCCTCCTTGAATAGCAGCACACACCCTGAGCTCCTTCCCCTCTTTAAGCTCCCTCCTGTGTGTGCACATTCGGGTGTTTCTACGCCTCCCAAAGGCCACTAAGACGGAAAGCAAAGGCCTTGTCATAAAACACAGGGTAAACTTCCACAGCCTTCTCAAAGAGGAAATGAAAGAAGTTCTCCTAAGTGCTGAGGGGGGTTCAGCTTTCCCTTCCCCTGTTGTCCTGGCATAAAACAGTCCTGATACCAAGGTGAAATCTAATATTCTCTGTCAGTTAGCGATATTTACTATATTCCCACAGAGAGTGAATTCCTGCGCCTCTGGCCCCTTGCCAGGTTATTACTGCAGGAAAGTCGTATCTCTGTGGCAAAAAAAAAAAAAAAAAAGTTGAATAGTTTTACTTTTGGAGACTTTTCGTGACTTGGCATTCAGCAAATTATTGCACCAGCCAATTTTTCTGTTAAGTATTCCTCCCTCTGCCAGTCATATGGAGCTGGTGGCGGTGGCGGCTAATTCTGCTTGTCACCAGTGTGAGTGTCTTAGCGGCCCGGTGCGCTCCCAAGGCCAGCACTCATTTCATGAATAGAGAACTTTTGTCAATGAGAAGGACCCCCTCCCCAGAGGTCACGATAAAATTAAATGGTTGAAGCCGGAGCGCGCTGGTGTCTTCACCCTCAGAGGAGAGCAGTCGAGGTTTTATCTTCTTATTTTTCTCCCTGCTGTAATAAAATGTAAAAAGCGTCCCCCTGTTTCTTCCTCACATGTAAATCAAATTGACATCCTTCTCTAGGGACTCGCCTGTTATGTCTTAAGATCCCTTCTTTCCCCTCACACATAAATCAAATTGACATTTGGCTCTTCGCGCTCCTGCCTCTCGTTTCTTGAGGTCCCTGCTTGCTATGCACCTTAATTGAATTCTCTGTCTGTATTTAACATGGCTTATAAACTTGTGTGTGCCGTGAGCGTGCATGCGCGAGTGTCTATGTGTGGGACTGAGAGTGCAAGGGAATGTGTGATGTCAAATTCATTTACCGTTCCCTTCTGTTTTAATCCATTCCTCCCACCCGAAGTCAAAGAATAGTCGGCACCCAGAAATCAGCGCCGCAGCCGGCGTATCGACACTCATCGCTGTATGGTTTTCCATTACATTTTCTAACGGCATCTCCTGTGGTATTTGTATTGCCAGCCTAGTCACCAGACATCAAATTGACTTCAAAAAGGTGGGAATTTTGCCACAGTTGAGAGCCAGGCATTGTTTTGTTTGGGTTCCCTGAGTGGTTTTCAAAGTGCTTCATGGTGACATGGTGCCCAGTGTTTGCTTCTTCTTGATGGTTTATTGGGAGTCTTACACAGTTTTTTTTTTCACCCTCTCAGGAGGCTGAGTGGCACTGTGATGAGTTCACCAAGGGAGCCTGCTTCAGCCGGGGAAAATCTGAGGTGAGTTTAAGTGATGCCTGAACACACTTTTATACCTCTTTATCAGACACTTGTCACTATGTTGAGAAAAACAAGCTTCAGTACTGGTATGGTTAAAAAAAAAACATTTTACCCTCTGTAAAAAAAAAAAAGTGTACTTTGTGAGTTACTGTACTTAACTTATTGATTTTTATGAAAACAGTTAAAGGGTTATTATAGCAGCTCAGTGTTCCATTAAGTTCAGGGAGTTTAAGAGACAACAAACCTTGGACTCTGTGTTTCCTTCACACAATAAACTTTTTTTTATGTCAGGTAGATGCTAAAGTATTTCCAAAACTGTGCCCTGTTTTAAAGACCGCTCCTTTATTCTGCAGCTCTGTGCAACTACACTTGGACTGTCAGACATGCCTGAAATGACAATGCCAACATGTTAATGATCAGTTGTACAGTTTATTATTAGACCCCCTGTTGTTTTCTTCACAAAGTCTACATGACACTGATCATTTTGGTTGAATGAATCATAGTGGTTAAATTATTACAGCATCTTCCATAAGCCATGAAATTATAATAATTCAATACATGCAGTAAATCCATCCATCCATTATCTATACACCGCCTAATCCTCACTAGGGTCATGGGGGGGCTGGAGCCTATCCCAGCTGACTTAGGACGAAGGCAGGGGACACCCTGGACCAGTCGCCTGTCTGTCACAGGACTACACTTAGATACAGACAACCAAGCACACTCACATTCACACCTACGGACAATTTAGAATCACCAATTAACCTCAACATGTTTTCAGACTGTGTGGGAGGAAGGCAGTGAACCAAAAGAGAACCCACGTTGCACGGAGAGAACATGCAAACTCCATGTAGAAAGATCCCAGTGCCCCCACCGGGACGCAAACCGGCGACTTTCTTGCTGCGAGCATGCAATAAATGAGATTGAAAATTTCACATTAGATGGTGAAAAACTTTTTTTATGGCATCATTATTTTGTGCATAAGCTGTAAAGTCAACGGATAATCCAGACTTAATAATCACTCAACAGTGCTTAAAATAAGAGATTTCAGAGATGATGAGAAAACAGCTATCTTGGCGCAAAATGAAGAGAAATACAACAAGAGTGCGATTGCTAACCGGCAGAACAGATGCCCATTACAACACACCGTATGGCTCCACCAAGAATTGCAGAGGAAGAAGCAGAAAACAGTGGTTTAATAATTATCTCTGGCGCTGTGGTGTTTACTATGTAGCACTACATGTGAGCATGCTGTCGTTCGCTTATAATGTGCTGAAGATGAGGATGGGAATATCGGTAATGGTCATGGAAATTAAAATTTTCCCAAAGAAGCAGTGGATTCACCGACTGATGCTGCCAATCCCTGTGTGCAAGCTTAACCCAAGATAACCTCGATGACTGTTTTCCCAAATTTGACATAGTAGCTCACAGAGCCCCAGAAGATGGCGCATAAACTGTTGTTAATGTGTAAAATAATGGGGTTTCCCTTGACGTCTTGTTAGGATAACAACAATACGAACAATTACAAACTAGAACGCAGCAGCCTCCGTGATTATTCAGCGTTTTCCTGAGGGTTTGGTTATCTACAAAAATAACACATGAATGAATGCTGTTTACGAGTGAAACCCAGATGTTGGACTTTCCCACCAGCACATCAGCGCAGCATAACAGTTATGGCTTTAAAATAAAAAAAAAAAGGTGCAAATCTTCTAAAGACCAAAATCACAGATCTCCTTTCATTTTTCACAACCAAATGGCAGCCTAAAAAAAAAAAAAAAAAAGAAACATCAAGTTATGATGAAACACAACGAGGCCTGAAAGCAACATGGGGTTTTTCATTCAGCCGTAACATACAGACTCACTGGGATTCTCCGCTTTGTATGTGGGATTGACCTCAAAGAGGATTTAAATGAACTTACTGTGAAGTAAAAGGCTTCCCAACCACACCTTAACTCTTATTTATAGGGCTTGTACAAAGGGAGTTCCTATTGTTTTTGTAGTTTCTTTCAGTGCGGCGTATGTTTTTGTATGTGGTTAGTTGGCATACTCTTGTCTACGAAACAGATGGTTTCGAGCTAAACTTGACTCGTAGGTGAACTGCCCAGCCCTGATCCCTGTGTGCGTGTGTGCACCGCTGTGTATTTATCCTCCTGTGAAAGGTGGTTAGGGACCCATAATGGGCATGCATGGGCTGGCCGGCACAAGATAGCAGTTGTGAATTACAGACCAAAGCTACCTCAGTCCTTGAGAGTCGCTGCTGTCTGGTGGAGCCGAATTGTTTTGCTCACTGTTCCCCTCTGAGGATCAGCTCCTGTGATGTACACTAAGAATAGCATTAAAAGACTTCATTCTCCAGCAGCTGACAGGGCTTTCGATGGTTTATTACCTAGCTCAACGCGCAGCAATATACCATCGCTTAAGCTATTACACAGATACCGTCCCTGTGCTTTGAGTGAATTTACAAGTGATTGTATTTCTTTTTTTTTTCTTCTTCTTCTTCTTAATGCACGCATCCACTCTTCTTTTTGTATTTGATTTATTTCAACTGGGAGAAGAAAGGAGAGTTAAATGGACTTGACAGGGCTTGATTGCTGCCTCTGTTTTGTTTTATAATGCAAGAGCCAAGCACAACAGCCTCTGTATTACAGTACAGACGTGGAACATTTGTCAGGAAGTTTTCATAAACAAGTCAAGACTATGAGGCTGGGCAAATATTAAATATGACATTATTTACCGTAGAAACAAACTGCAGAGAAGAATTGAATTATGCAGACCCCCTTTCACAACCCACTCCCCGCTCCGTCACCCACACACACACAGTGTACATAACAAGCTGCGCAAACAGCACAGATATATAGGCACGCATTACAAGTGCGACCACTCATGCACACATCTTCTGTTTTGAAGGCGCACATATAAACGCATACACACATACTTAGGCCGCGCTTAGCACCAGGAAACGAGTTGTTTTACGAGTCAACCTTCATCTTGATAGGGGGGAATAAAAGCCCTCGCCCTCCTCCCTTCCATCTCTGTTACGATGCCCTCCACTCCTAAATCAGACCCTTGAGAAGGGGGGGAGAAGGGGGAGGAGGGGTTGCCCTGGGCACCTCGAGTGGCTCAGACAATAGCAGATTTACAAGGTTTTAAATTTCTACGAGGGGCCCTCACCAACCCAGCCATGGCCCCTTTCAGATGGAGGGGGACCCTATGAGTTTATTACCTTGTCCCGGGACAAAAACAAATGCCGCTCTCTGACATGAATACTGACTACTGTTGTTACATTTACTACAAAATGACTTCAGCTGATGGAAATCACCGTCAAACCTCCACAAACGCCTGACCGAGAGTTCATGACGTTCAGCGGCAGTCAATCATTCCATCAATCACTCACTCCGTCAGTGCTGCTGCATTTGTTGAGTGCCTTTAACCAAGTGAGCTGAGCGGCTTTTGCTTAGAAACCCAGGCCAAGACCCTCAGAAGAGGGGCCAAGAAAAGAGTGGCGAGCGTGTACTTCACCATAATTTAGAGAAAAGTGGTCTGAATTGTATTAATGTAAAGAGCAGGCTTAAAAGAAACATGATTGAATGAAGTGTATGAGAGGCACACACTTTCATTTTCACTTTTTGACCAGTCAACAAAGCCAACGCAGTGTTTTAAAGCTAATTCTGAGTGGTCCTCTCCCACGCCCGCCGCATTTATCCGTTCTCCACCTTATTCAGATCCCTCTGCAAAATCAGCTCCCTGCTGAATTAAGATGTTACATTGCTAAGCCGTGTGGGCATTAGCCTTGATTTGACTCTGTCTAGCTTGGTCACGTTGTAGAGCAGGCCTCCCGTGGTTTCAGGTGTTTTTCTCATTTATTGGCATAAAGTGTAATTTTGTCTCTCTGCCTAATGCTGCTGCTTGTCAGCGGATAGATAATGGCGCTGCTGGTAACTGCTAACTGTGATATGTGTGTTTGCTGGTGTGCTTCCACAGGAGGAGTGCCAGAACTACATCAGGGTGCTGCTGGTGAATGGGAACAGGCTGTTTACCTGTGGAACCAACGCCTTCACCCCCATCTGCACCAACCGAACGGTACGAGCATTTCTCCCGGTTTCCTTCTTGCTATTTTTATAGTATATCATTCTGACTGATAGATGTGCACACTGAAGTAATTTTGCGAAGACCAAATGCATTCTTCCTCTTGAAATGCAGATGAATTCATGTGCATAATTCCTAAAGGTTCTTCTTCGCCTGTATAAATGGGGATAGTCTTAATTTATGCTCCCAATATTTTTACCCTGTGTTATAAACAGTGGCATGTACTCTTACAAATTTAGTTCCCCCAAAAATGGGCCAGTAGCATTTGCACATTGTCACTTAACTTCTGCTGCTTGACTTCAGGGAATAAGGCTCATTATGAAATTAAGATTAGCCACAGAGGAGGTGCAAATTCTGCACTCAGGACTGGCCCACACACTATAGGGTGAAAAAAACTGCATAATTATGCATTTGGAGTAAATTATTCCTTCTGCACATGAAAATTGGACAACTACTCTCTCACCTAGCAAGTATTTGGGCCAGTAGTTTGCTTGTTTTTTAAACTCTCTCTTTCAGAAATGCTGATTTGAACAGACAGTCAGCCAGAATAAGAAAACAACACGATCTGTCAAGGTGCAGTTTGCAAATATTCCGGTTCTTACACAGGCCTGATGTATGAACGTACGACATATACGTGGATTTGTTTATTTGAAACCAGCATTCAGAATGACGCAGGTGATTTACCAAATAAAATATTTAAAAACTAAGCAGTTCTCAATATATGCTTGCAGCACTCTACTGAATTATGTGTATCAGAGGGGATGTAGAAGTAGGTGTTCCTTCATTACTGTCAAATAAGTACTGGCCTTCTTTAATAAATATCTTTCACTAGACTAGACCAACTTTTTCCATCGACTGCTTTGTCGGTGCAGCATGGAAGCTGACAGCATCTAAAGGAGGCATTGTTCTGCAATAACAGTGGTATGTCAAGCCTGTAGACATTGCAAATGTGAAGACTGAATCCTTATTAAATGAACCGACAATGTCAGAAGGAAACAACAAGGTTGATCAGCACATTTAATCAAGCTGTGATTGATTCATGATTTTGATATCCGGGATTCACTGTACAAGATTTCATGGCTCGTCTTGCCACCTGCTGTGCAGTCAGGGATGTAGACTAATTATAAAATGAATCTTATTAAGCTCTCTCTTTTGGAAGTCGTGTTCGCTCAAACTTGTTAAGCGTCCTAATCAAAATATTGCCTTAAGCTCATTACTCCTGATAATCATGGCGTTGGCCTCCAAGTAAACACACTCCTTGTCTCATCGGTGCTGCTTTGCCCTTCTTCGTGAGCCGCTGCGATGATTTTCCTTCTATTCTTTCATCGCATTGTCTTTGCTTCTTCTATATTTCACTCCAGTGCGATGCAGTGTTTTCACGCCTCGGTCCTCTGCTCCTTCAAAATTCCCTGTAGCTCTTAATCCCGTGTTTTAAAGGGGTGTTTAGTCAGACTTTTCAGCTTGAATTGCTATTGTGTTTCAGTGGGCTCTTGACGCAGTGGGGGCAACTCCAGCTTTTTCTTGTATATTAACCAGTTTGTAAAACCAGTTTATGAAAGCACACTGTGCTAATGACCATATTTCTGGATAACTGAGCTGCCAGCTGAGAACTTTTATTTGTTGGTGACTAATGTTCACTGAAGTTGAGTATAAAGCAACATTTGAAATGTCATCGTGTTGTTCTTACCTTAGAACAGTGCCACATCAAATATTTGGCTCTCCTTGTGTTGGTTTTTTTTTAGGAGGTGGTGGAGGAGGGAAGAGTTTACTATTATGATGACATTTGTTTTTGTCCAAAAGCACTGCATTCAAAGGTCACCAGCTCATAATGACTGTTTACCGCTGTGAAAATACATATAGTTGAAATGTCATGACATTATTACAGCCGTATTTCATCAGGCGCTGTCATATTTACCCACTGAACGTCCGTTAATGTGAAACACGGGCCGGGAACAGCAACAGCAATAGAACGATGCTTGGACAGATTTATTGTCAGTCGTGGTGATGAACAGAGAATGAGCGGAATATTAATAATTTAATAAGCGCTCAGAGGTTATAGATTAAACAGTTGTTAACTGTTTGAGGTTTGACCGACTCTCTCTAATTGCTTCATTTCATTGTGTCCTCTTTTTCTGCAATGGCTTAATTAATTAAATACCTGAACGGAGAATTAGTTCCAGCAATTGCTTACCTTGACACATCCTACACCTCATGCTCACGTAACGGCAGAGGGTGGAAATGTGTATTAAAGCTAGAGTATGCAGTGTTTTCCAGGGGCATTTTTTTTTGTATTTTTCCAACAGCAATCAATAAATCAAGTGCTCTGATAATAAACAGATAAAAAATCTGGCCTGTAAAAAGATAGCTGAATCATTGCATTCACTACGCAGGAGATGTTTGAATGACATACCTGCAATCTCCGACAAGGTGAGGCGGACACATTGGTAACAACTAGTGAGTTAATAGCACAAGT